AAAATTCAAAATATATGAAAACTTATTCTATTATAAACACTGATATAAAAAATTGAATTATTTGCATTGAATTCTAACATCATTCTAATTGCTTGGGTTTTGTAAATAATGTTAAACTTTCCGCACACTGTAAATAGAAATAATTTTATCATTGTAATTCGCTACCTGTAGGTACTATAAACTCATACTTTGTGGACACAGGACTAAGAAGTCAATCAACACACGTTTGCCTGCTGTATGGTTACTGCTTCGTGAGAGAAATGTATTCTCTCGTGTGTGAAAAACAACTGGACAGAGCAATAGGCAGATCTTCAAATAGGGTTGGCACATACACATTTGATTCACTTGATTCTGTTTTTTCCTGTGCATATACACAGTGTAAACACTATCGTGCCACTTTAAACAAGTACGCTACGCGACCTGAATACATACGCCAAGAATCATTATAGCGCTATTCTTCAGATGCTACAGATTGAACTGATATTGCACGAACTACAATCAAATATTCAATTTAATAATAGCAATAAATTCTTTTACTGGATATTCTCGGGCCGACATTATGCACTAATTATTGTTGATTGTAATGCTATTAACATTTAATTTTGTTATACACCACAGACGAGGTATAAGCATAGATCTTGCAAGCTTACGGGACTTTGTGTTACATGTTCTGAATTACCGACTGTGTAAAAAAATCAGAGGTTTTGCTCTGCCCTCTACTCCTAGAGAACGGTGAATAGGAAAACTACGTCAAGCAAAATCATTAGAAGTTGACAAAGTAAGTAAACATGGTAAATCAGCATACAAACGTATCCGTTACAATGTTGTGATGGTTTTAACTTCCAACGCGCAAAGCTACTTCAATTTAGTTACGAGTGTGTCATATAATTTAACGGCAACAAATGTATAAGGCACGTACATTTGAACAAAGGAAGTAGTATTTAGTTTATCATATTTACTACTTTGATTTTTTATACAATCAATAATTCAGAACATGTGAGATTGAGTCTCATAAGTTTGTAATGTCTATCCTATGCCTCGTTTGTGGTGAAAGACAAAAATTTTATCTCTGTAACACTATTTTGTATCCATGTTCATATAACGATATATTTTACTGCATCGAATACATAGAGACCGTATAGTTCATCAACTTTTCAATCTTTGTCTTTTATGATTAGTGGAATAAAAATAGTATGTTTGTTTGTGCAATGTGTGCAGTATTCGCGTAACATTGAAACAAGAACTGGTACCAAGGACACGACAAACATGACATTTATTTTAAAACTTATGTCATGGAAACACGTAATAAAAAGAGTACTTTTACCAGTAAATCATTTAATGGTTACACCAACTTTCGAATTCCACACGTCAAAATGTAAGTCTTTTATTCAATGTCTGTGTAGATGTCGCTAAAGATGATGTAAACAAATAATTTGAACGTCTGTAGAATAATTCGGTCAACTTTAAATAATTATATGTGATAATAAATTTTCAGATTCTTTTCATGGTGAATATGAATGGGAAGATCCAAAATCGGAAGCTGATGTGTAAGTAACATTAATCTAATAAATTGTGTAAAATTTATAATAGATTACGATATCTATACTTATGCGATAGGCACGATAAATGTAATACGATTTATTTATTTTAATTTTATTTAAATACTATTTTCGTTTTAGTGTAAATGTAACGTTTATTGATAAAACAGGAAAAAGGATACCTGTAAGAGGAAAAGTGGGAGATAATGCATTATATCTAGCTCATAGATATGGAATTGAAATGGAAGGAGCTTGTGAAGCATCCCTTGCTTGTACTACATGTCATGTATATGTACATCATGATTATACAGATAAATTGCCAGTAGCTGAAGAAAAAGAGGAAGATTTATTAGATCTAGCACCATTCTTAAAAGAAAATTCACGATTAGGTAATTAAAAGTAAATTTAGTTCGTCTCATGTCAAATAATATTATTAAGGTGTATTAAAAGTTATTTTCTTATTTCATAAGGTTGTCAAATTATTTTAACGAAAGATTTGGATGGCATAGAATTAGAATTGCCACAAGCAACAAGAAATTTCTATGTTGATGGTCATACGCCAACTCCACATTGACATATATCGTATTTTATATTTAAGTATGTATATATTGTATTTATATAATTAATAAAATACTTATGTGTATATTACATACAGGATTAATTAAAAACATCCTAATTTAGTAACACTGAATAAAATGTATTTTTGTTTTCTGAAATGTTATTATTATTTTTTTGTTAAGTTATGTGAAATAAATATGTATTAATAAAACTTATACCAGTTTCTATTTCCAATGTTTTGTTTTCTCTTGTAGTGATAAACTCTATTTACGCGATTTTCATTTGTATAAAACGAATCCACGTGGAACGGATTTTCGCATACATTGAGGGTCAGGTGTACATATTTATACACTTGAAATAATTAATAAAAAATAACATTACATTTCTCAGAAAGTACTTTAATGTATTTCATAAACCTTTAGAGCAACAAACTTAGTTTATATGACATTTCATCATGGTACAATATATTTATTTCTTACACATTTGGATTATGATACATATCTTTAATTACAATGATACAAGATTTAAACATTTATGATATAATGAATCTCTGAATTAAAATCATACTCGTTAATCTTGCAGCATTTACATTATCAGTGAAAATATCCTATAAGTTCCTATTGTAAACTGTTTATGTTTTAGCACTGCCAATGATGCGTTAAGATTTCTTTTTTTAGTTCTGGCAGGCACCTTTATGCGTTTCTTCAGTTTGACAAATTTTCGACAATTATCGTTTGTGTATACATATTTTTTAAATGTGCATACGTTCCCGCGTCTATCAGTTCGTATACGCGTATGCAAACTTGCATCTTTATTTATGCATATACATCTGTCTCCGTGCCGATAATTATTATCACCAACATTGTCATAATTGTTATTGTATAAACTATATGTATATTTATTTTCTGTTCATTACCGATCACTATAATTATAGACACATTGTAACATTTCAGAGCAATCACATTACGCATTCATACTTTGTAATTGAATTTAAATAGAAGTACATTCACACAGTCGCGCTATGTCGTACAAAACTACACTTGTGAAGATGATTACATGTTTATTTCTCATTTGGTATGAGTCATCACAACGGACTTATTGAAAAACTAACTTTTGTACTTATTCGTAACTAAATAATTCTAATTATTTAATTAAATATTATACAAAAGAAACTGTCTACTTTAAAAGACTCAATGGAATACTTTGAATTCAATAAACATAGATAATTTGTTTAATATCGAAATAAAACTATTAATCGCTATGGCAGTAAATAAGTTAATATTTACATAGTGGACAATTTTTAAATAAAGTTTTTTTAAAATTCTGTGTATTTATAGTTACATAATTTTTTTTATAGAATTCTTTTGCAAAAATACTGCCTCACCGGCATCAGATTCACAATATATTCATATTAAATTACATGTTACATATATACCTAGGAAGCCAAATTATATTATTTTTATGTAATCTCCCCCTAAGCTCACTAAGTAAAATTGCAAATGTATTTTGCTAATAAATTGCTAATGTTAAGAATGCATGGTACATATATTATAATCGAAATATAATTGAAGTTATTCTTGAAAATACTTATTACAAAGTAATCAATTTTATTAGATTTGTTGAAGCTAAGAACATTTATCCTATGGGAAGGTAAACACAACTGGGAAAAATATTACTATTACATTACTACATTAATGATGACAATGATATAATATACTGTAAAACGCGTATATGATATTAATAATTAGATATTTTAAGAATGATGAAAACAGCTATTGCATTTCAACAAATGTAACTGTATCTACTTTTAAACTCTTAAAGACGAAATTCCAGTAACATTGTTTTAGAGCAAACATTTGAACATACACTTTAATAAAAGCTATTGAGCTTAGGGAGATAAGTATTATAGATCTTATTACATGAATTTTTTGAATAACCAATTTACAAATACAAACATAAATTTGTGCACACTAGTTTGAAATATTTAATTATGTCACAGAACTTTAGGAAGCATTTAGAAATTGAGAGAATAGAAAATAGGAGCAAAGAAAAACTAATTAAAATTAAATACATAATACAGTAAATGTGAAATATTCTAGTGTTTTTCAAAAAAACTTTCATCTCTTGCATAGATTTATAAAATCTATATGTACGTCTCATAAAATTTTGAGTAAAAAGTGTTGAGACAAAAAAGAAATTGTTTCAATTTAAAATGAACTAAAAATACATTACTATTATTGGACTAGAAACATGAAACATAACAAAACTTATCGAACAATAATTATTGATTTTGTTTTCCACTGCATATATGTAGGTTTCTAAAATATCTTTCTTTTCTTTCTTTAATAACTAAAATTTTGCAAGATACGAAGATTGGTGGTTTAGTAAATCAAGCCATACAATAATTAATTAGTGTACTATCCCAAAGCTGCATCTGACTTGATCATCTATTCCTTAAAAATAATGTAAAAACTTTCTACAACATTTATAACATGATTAATGAATCACCTATCATGATATTTTAAAAGCTTTGATTGAAAATTGTAATAAGATTCCCTGCATTAATATTTATGGTCACGTACACTGAGCAAAAAAATAACTATGCTCGTAATGGTACATTTAATCGCTTGCATTTCAATAAAGTCAGATTTAACATTGTGTCAATAAAAATGTAAATATAAAAATCAGATCCTTCGAGCACATAAAACTCTAAAACCATGTATTACGATTTGTAAAGCTGGTAATAAAGAATGTACAATAAGATTAATAATAAGCAGAATTATTGCTAAAAACCATCTGCATCCCTTTCAAAAGCATCTTAACTTTCTAAACATTCAAATGGTGTACATATCGTTCAATAATTATAGAATACATAGAATGAAATGAACTACCTACTAATTAATAGTAAAATTAGAAAAATAATTGGGAGTATAAGTAGATGTAAATTAGAAATTTTAACAATGCCAATACGTATATTACAGGACTATAATACACTATAAAATAGAGATTTAAATTTTCAAACAATCCACTACATTCCACGAAAAGCAAAAAAATTAAGTTTGTATAAGATTTAACTTCAATATAGGTACAAGTTTACAGTATTATTATAACTCATTTTATCATTCAGCTTCAAACTAAAAATGTGTTCCAATGAGTAATAAGCCTCAAACTAATATTATATGTATATGATGTATCATGAACTTATCTTCATTGTGCATGAAGTAACAATAAGATTGATAGTACTAGAAGTACCTGTTTGTAAATACTGATATTATTTAGCATTTAACATTATGCCAACGTAGTAGCATAAGAAATTTCATTTAACAGATAAATGACTATATAAATATTAATGATATTTTAAAATTACAAAGAGCACAATATAAGGGACCTTAAAACAATGTTGCATTTGATAATAAAAAAGTTGTTCGCTATAGACATTCACTGTCATTCCTAAATGACTGCCTATGACCATTTTTAATAACATACAACTGTTAACGTTAATTTTGATACTTATTTGTGAAAGTGCAACTAACTCTTGACAACCAGTTTGTGCTAATTAATGAAATAGGTAAAAAATCTTTACTCTCTCCTGTTAAAAATTTAAAGCTTAAAAAATAAATATACATTTTTTTCCTAATTCGTAATTCAAGCAAATTTAATTCATGTAATTCCTACTAAAAGGATTTTATGAAAATAAGTATAGTACAAATATTGTTGACACTAAATTTAAATACGATGTCATAAAATGTTACATTTAAAAAAACAAAAAAGAATTCATGTAACATATATTATAGTGATAAAATTTAATCACTTCAAATTTCTGAGAAAAAATGCACAAGAAAAATAAATAAATAACGCCTCGAATTTAATTACAACAAAACTAAGAAGTCTGTGATTGTGTAGTAAGTGATTCCTTTACTATTTTTATCGTAAAGGGTTTCACGCAAGGTAAACTCTAGCTTTCAAACTGGGAATAAAAAATTTTGTATATCTCGCAACTCGACTGAATTCTCACAATGTGCACCATGTATCACAAATAGTTGGTCAGTCCAAATACTATTCTTATGGACCAATCATTCAGAGTATATGTTAAACAACGTCCATTCTCAAACTGTTTAATGTACAGAGATGTGATTAAATAATGCATTTTGCTAATAAAATATACAAAATGTATGGAATATACATGGTATTACGGCTAAATGCGATAATTTGTGCTCGTATCTTTTTTTCTTTTTCTTTTATTTTTTGAAACAAAATATAGTTCAGACACGACGCTGATGGATAAGTGCATGTACTGGAAGCTGTCTGCCCCTTTGATACCTCTGACAACGGCCCATACTCAAATCGTGACATTCGTACACATTGGCTACAGCACCACGTGATGAAGAAAAGTTGGCTGATTCGACTGAGTATACAGGAGAGATATCAAAGGGTTCCTCCAGTTATTCCATCGGATGGTGTCGTCCCCCGCACATTCCACAGGACGTGCCACACCAATGAACAGCTCTGAGTGGAGGATAAATCCACAAGCAAGGAACGATCAGTGACAATAATGCCAAACCAAACCACCTGCGTCCACATCCTTCTTCTGTGCTACAACTGCACAATTTAATATTCATTTATAATGTATTCTTAAGTGGGCACACCGTCTAGAAACGTCCTAAATATAGTTAAATCTTAGGAATTTTTTTGTCAATAACTATTAAGTGAAAGCTTCCGATTTTTCCTGGGTACATAACTGTAACCTTTTGCTTTACATATATATTTTTTCTAAGTCAAAATGTTACAAAATGGCGCAATTATTCGATAGCTTCGGAACTCCTTTTCATAAAACATCTATTTTTGGCCGACACAATTGTAAACAATTGAAACATTCGAAGACAACAATTTTTGTGGATTTATAAACAAAAATATATGATCTAACATGTAGCGTTTCGATATCTCAATTACTTAATTTTTTATAAACATTTGAAACTGTTTGGGGTAAAAACAGATTTTTGCACTTCAAATGTTTGTCATTTCCATAATAATTAAAATTTCGAAAAATCCGTATGCTACATTTTAAATAATATATTTCTGTTTATAAATCCACAAAAATTGTTATCTTTGAAAGGGGATTCCAAAGCTATCGAATAATTGTGCCATTTTGTAACATTTTGGATTAGAAAAAATATATATGTAAAGCAAAAGGTTACAGTTATGTACCCAGGAAAAATCGAAAGCTTTCACTTAATAGTTATTGACAAAAAAATTCTCAAGATTTAACTATATTTAGGACTTCTCTAGAAGATGTTTCCCCTTAATTGAGCAGCATATTGGCCAAATTGATTAACTCCACTTTTTAAATTGTTTAAAATTTTATCGTCTACGTGCTTGATTGGTTCTTAACTTTTTATATTTATAACAAGAAATTTCCTTATTACTGGGTTCAGTGCCACGAAATAATAATAATTTCTTTAGTATGTAAAAATTGTAATAATAACATAGAGTAGTTCTTGGATATAGTATTTTATGCATTTTACATATTCTGAAGATTAAAGACAAACTTGTAATAATAAAGCAAAATTTATTTCACTTATACCATCTAATAAAACAATTATATCCATCCAATTTATACCACTGCGCCACTTTTTTCTATTTTTTTTATTTGTACAGTTAACCAATTTGGTCAATGAGTGGCTCAATTAGGTGTTAGTACCATTCACAAAAACAAAAGGTAACAACATAATTATTTGTTAGTTACAGAATACATTATAAATATTAAGAAATGTAAATCTTAAACTCTTTACTATAAAGTTCAGAAAATATGTTTAACAAATGAAACTAAAGCAATACAAAAAAATTAATGTATATAATTTTCTCACCTGCAAGGATTTTGGGAGAAATCACCTTCGGCATCACTCATACAATGGTATAACATGCCCTGAGCACACGACAGACATGAAATTTTTGCGATTCCACGTTTAACTGGGTCAGGAGCATATTCACAAGATCCTCTTGGATTGTGCTGTTCAGTATACAACTCTTGGCAATGTTTACATCGTAATCGAATATTACGTTTCATAGTATTTTTCGTAGGTTGAGATACTATAATATCTGGCTTCTTCAAAGAACCGCCAGTATTAGATCTATCTAACCGATCTCCTTTATGATCATCAATAATAGGATATAAATACTCGTGGTTAAGCGTTGTGAGCTGCACATAAGGGTAATTATCTGATCCAGCATCTGCAGTTGATGCCAAAGGATGTTGAGATGGTGGCACTTTTATAGATGATCCACCGATATAATGGATAGGTTTTTGTGAATCGGGAAAATCTGAACACTGGGAATGACAATTGGTCACTCGAACTATGCTACGAGATGTTTCTAACGACGGACGTGGCTCCGGTGGTTCCGCAGGCAAGTTCAAAGTCTATAATAAATTCAAATAAAAATAAATTCAATTTCGTTCAGTGTTATCGTATATTAGGTCGTGTAATATGAAATGTCGGATTTAAAAAAGAGAAGGAAACCTTATTTGATGTTCTAAAAGACGTTTATTCAATCAAAATATGCTCTATTTGATTCAATACACTTCTGCTAACAAGTTTTGAATGAATATATCCCATTCTTGAAAAATTCTGAATGTTTAAAATTAATCAATTTTAAAGACATCGTTATGAACTACTGTTTTGGGTTTACCATGCGAATGATTTTGCAAAGAAACTTCACCGAAACCAAACTTTGCAAATCAACGGAGCATTGTTCTTTCATTTATAGTATTTTCCCCAAATGCTTGGTTTATATTTTGAGCGAGTTTTGCAGCATTATTTCCAATTTTGAATTCATGTAAGAAAATTACATAAACGTTAGTAGTATCCATGTATTCAAAGAACAATGTAAGAAATAGTTATTATGCACAATTCGGAAAAACTTTTTTGCAAAAAATTACTCTGATAATCGACAATGAAACTGTTTAAGAGGTTATATAAAAAATAAAGAAATAACAACAGTAGGAGTAAAAACATTTATGAGTAAGAAAGATCCGACATTTTATATTACACGATCTAATACTTATCTTTATTCGATACGTACCATAAAAACATCCTCATCACCAGCGTCTAATGAATTACCATACAACGTTGAATTGGCCAACCCTACATTATAAACAAAATTTATAATATAATTATATAAAATAATAGCTTCGTTATTTATCAATATAACAATTATCAGTAAAAATATTCTTATATTCTTACCATTTGTACATTCCATAGAAAGTAGCAGTAAAAGAATAAGTAAATTAATGCAGTATAAAATTAAATAAAAGTATTTGTAGTCTACCATGATTCAATTTAATCGAGCAAAAGTGTTACTAAAATAGTAAACTACCTTCTAATAATTCTTCAACAGCTGTTCGAACACCTTTATCGAAAGCTCTTGCATCAGCAGCTGTTTGAAACGTCAAGCCAAACCTTTTCTCTCCTGTCCTCCAGTGATGAAAGGTTGGCATTACCTTATTATACTCAAAGTCTTTCTTAATTGTACAACTAAGAACAACCTATAAGAAAATGATATTGCGTTAAAATGACTAAACAAATTGAAATGTATATTGAAATTATTAAAAATCATGTCTACTACCGATTGATCGGTGATTCGTTTCCCATAAATAAGATACTCGTGCCTCTTCTTCGTTGCACCAAGGGGGGAATTGTTTGAAGATCCATGACTTTGGGTTGTAGTGACAGCTGCAGTTGATATAGATTGCGTAGAGTTGGTAGTAGACGGTATGACAGTCGAAGTAGAAATACCAGATCCATTGGTATTATTAGACTGATGCCCACCTGAAGAAGTAGCTCTTCTTCTAACCGAAACATTTGCTAAACCACCGCCACTTAAAGGAACCCAACCACCGGAACTATCATCCCTTGTCATTACCTGGGCACGAACCCTCACCAGATAGTTACCACTAAAAGAGAAATGTCAAAAAGTTAATACCGTCAGTTAACAAACCTTGATTTATTATTACATCTTTTGAAAATAGCATTCTTCTCGAATGATTATTAAACTAGAAAAGGGACAAAAGTGGAAGGTAATGGTGCATACTGTTACTCAATGCGAAAACTAATACACTACTTTTTTTATCGCAAAGAAAATCAATAATATATTTTAATATTGGATAAGCAATGTACAGTTAGATAAAACATATTTGCAACAAAATACATGAAAAATAAAATTTATTCCATGATTTTATATTTGGCAAGGAATTCGCAAATTGCAGTAATAATCAAAATCATCGTGGAGATAGTTTAAAAACGCGCAGGACCGATATGTATGTACGCGAAGCCGAAGAATTTCTGTTATACACAACGAAATAGCAGATGTTACGCGCTGACATCGATTTAATGAATGAACGGTCACCCCTACACAGACATAGAAACACACAAACACTCTGGCCAAAATCATACGTTTACATGTGTACATTTTTACAGACGCCTAACGAACATGACACATCTCGGAAGGGAGAGAATTATATTTTGGGGGTTGAGGAAAATTCGAGACATGCATAAAGCGTGTTGACCACTGGTGGGTGTTGAAAATGTTGACAGGAGAAAAGGCGAGACGAGGTCGGACAGAGCTGTCAGGTACCGCGTTATGAGCGTGATATCCAGGAAAGGACAGGAGTTAAGCCATAGGCACGGACATTTCAGGTTTCGGAGCGGAACAATCGTTAGAATGCACCGCAGGCATTACAATGTTACTTACTCCTCCGATGCCTCTGTCATGGTTCGAGCTGTCGAAGCCTTTATTCAATGCCCACCTTTTCCCACACTTCACCATTTTCGTTGCATTGAAAAGACATTCGGCCGCGATTCTGTTTATGGAGCTTTTTTAGGCTAGTGCCAACCACAGGAAGCGCCCCAGTCCTCCTCCCTCTCGCATTCCCCGTAGAGTTCATCCCCACGCCCGACTCGAATCCACAGTCCACGCCTGCTCCCTTCAGTTTTACCGACCGTCGCTTTCGTTTCGAAAACATCTTTTCTTCTGCATATTCTCCACAGAATCTTCGTGAATTGGAACACTGGTCATCGTATACGAGTACAACTGTATTTTACGGTTTGTTCGATTCCAATTTCCCAGGAAAATTACAGAAAACCTAGTGAGCGAAATTCGCGCACCGACGTTCACCCCACGAGCCCGACTGACTATACGGTAGCTATCGACTCTTTTACAATGAAAGCTACCGGTCTGCGCAACAGGATTCATTCATCGATGCTACCCATACAGTCTTGTTAATAATTAAGCGTGCTAACGTCTCTATGGCGGACAATGCACGTAACAGTTACTCCTGCGAAATTATCTAATTGTATCTAGAATAATGACATATGTTTAGTTTCTCAATAGGACAACTTTTATTTAATTTCGTGTAAATATTCATTGTAAATATTAGTTTATGAAAATATTGAATATCATGACGAGTATCGGAAAACGTTATAAAAAACGGAGTAACGATACATTTATCATAAATTATTATCGTTAGGCTTTTGGAAAATGTAGATTTTATTTTTGCTTTCGTATACAAAAATTTAAAAGGTTATATAAATAATTTTTATTGAATTTTTCATTCGTTAATATGTGTGTTACAAAAAATGCTATTGTACATATACATAATTCACAGAAAATCATTTTATCTTAAACTCGTTTAAAATTATATCGGATATAAATAATGGGCGTTCTAATTGGTGTTACTTTATGCATTTTATAAATTTTATATTTATTAATTATTATTCATTTTATTATTCTGTGCTTAAATAGCTTATTATCTCCAATAAATTTCTCAAGGTTTTAACTATGCGATTAGAATCTTGTAATTTATTATTTTATATAAAGCAGTATTGACTTTGCTACTTTTATCGGCTTGCGTATCCTTATTTAAACGTGTCCCTGAACGTGGAACATTCATTTTCCGGTACATTTATTCGGACGATGTTAAGTCGTAATTGTGGATCGATGATAGCGCAAATTAACGTCAAAAATACTATGCCGTAATTATACGTAAGATTAAAAATAAAATTGTTATGAAAATTATGTCGGTTATTATTACATTTTTTAAATTGAAAGATCGAACTAATAATTTTGAGCATGCATTCATAAAAGTAGTCGATACATTGTTATAATAACATTAATAAATATATTTTTAAACGAAACGTTCTTAAATCAAACATTTTAATAAATAATTAAAAATGTTAAAAAGCAAATAAAAATCGTAAAAAATACGATTTCTATAATTAACAAGAAACTGTAATAAATCGATCAATTATCTTCTTATTGTTTTGCACAATTCATTAAACATCGTGATTAATAATAGATAGAGGACATTGGAAATTATTTTAAAAATTTATTCTCACATGCATAGAAAGAAATACTGATTCAAAATTTTCTTTGCGAAATTATTTTATTTGATCATGTTTTGAAAAAACAAATACTAAGTAGTATACTTCTTCATGAAAGTGTTAAATAATAAATACCTAAAATAATGATGTATGAATATTTGAATATCGAAAATTTAGGCATTAGGAACATTTACTTATTATTTTTTAATGCCACAATTTTAAAAGTTTGCATACGTTTAAGAATGATAGACTGTAAGCTTTGCGTTCTTATAATACAGTATTATTAGTTTTAATATGTTTAAATATTTATATAACGTTAACTCCAAAAAGTATTTTTATAAATATTGTCTGTTATTGATTTAAAGTCTTCCCTTATATTTTTCTGTTTCTATATTTTTAATTGGTAAAAGTTAGTTTCAACAAATCGTCTGGCAGTATACATAGGGAACTTTAAGGCAGTGAATCATGACGATATATTTTTCTGTGCGATCGGTACAGTCCCTTTCAAAATTAACCGAAATCAATAGAACATTATCGAATACAAAAATATTTTGTTTACAGTTGTTTGACAAAACATAAATTTAAATAATATCAGTGATTGAGAAGAGACATTGATATTTTCTAACTTTGCATTGAAGCAAAAAAGTATGCAATTACTGAAATAAATGGAAATTGAATGGATGAATTCGGTATCAAACCTGGGAACATCCGAAAAACTTTCAAAGTAGTTGCAAAATTTGCTCATTGTTGCAACAATTAATGTAACAGTAACATGGCCGGCAATTTTTGGCAAAGCTCACATCAGTAAGATATTTCTAGTAGATTTAATTTTTCAATTTCGTTTTGTAAGTTATTCAAGTATTTTGTTTTTAGTCAACAATGGCTTCTTGATAAACAAGATTTAGTACGGGAACGACAACACGATCTTTCTATTTTAACAGAAGAAGAATATCAGAAGTTATTTATCTTTTTCTCAAATTGTAAGTTAAAGACCAAATTTATTTATTCTATTATACATTATCAATATGTCTTAACACCAATGTTATGGTGATCAATATAATATTCGTTTACTACAAGTTATTTACGATTATACCTAATTCTTTATAACTGTGTTTCAATTGTTTTATGAGATACTTATGTATTTTTTAATCTTTTACAGTGATCCAAGTATTGGGTGAACAATTAAAACTTAGGCAACAAGTTATAGCTACAGCAACTGTTTATTTTAAAAGATTTTATGCTCGTAATAGTTTAAAATGTATAGACCCATTGTTACTAGCACCTACATCAGTCTTTTTAGCATCTAAGGTAGAAGAATTTGGAGTTATTTCTAATACTAGGTTAATTACAACTTGTCAAACTGTAGGTATGTAATTTATTTCACATATTCTATGCAATGAATGAAGGTCATACATAAGGCATGTTGTTTATTATTTGTATAATACTTTTTCAGTAAAAAATAAATTTAATTATGCTTATTCACAAGAATTTCCATATCGTACAAATCATATTTTGGAATGTGAATTTTATCTTCTGGAACATTTAGACTGTTGTTTAATTGTATATCAACCATATCGTCCACTATTAACACTCATTCAAGATGTAGGTCCAGACGATCAGTTATTGACACTTGCTTGGCGTATAGTTAACGATAGTTTAAGAACAGATGTTTGTTTATTATATCCGCCACATCAAATAGCTATTGGTAAGATAATGTGCATATTTTAATAATGTGTTGAAGCAAAATGTGATTAAAACTTTTGTAATTATAGGTTGTTTACAAATAGCTTGCGTTATATTACAAAAGGATGTAAAATCATGGTTTGCTGAATTGAATGCTGACATGGAAAAGATTCAAGAAATGGCTCGTTACATTATCAATTTATATGAATTATGGAAAACGTATGACGAAAAGAAAGAAATTCAGGGATTATTAAATAAAATGCCAAAACCAAAAGCAGCACCACAGCGCTGACAGGAAGCTCTGTTGTCTTCTAATGTTTGGAACTGATAATAAAATATTTTTAAAAAAGTATTAATGATTTATTCATTTAAATATCCGTTTGATATTAAATCAATATATTTGACAATTAAATATTCAAAATTGTACAAACAATACTATTTTTGTATTTTATTGTATTGTTTCGTTAAAATAAAAATATTAATCAAACATTATACTAGAAAAATTGTCGAATATACGTACTTTATGCAATTAGAACAAACTTTACAAAATTGATTTTACTGTAATGAAAATAAGTTTTAATATTACAAAATCATTTAAATATTGTATAAATTGGCAAAATTTATACTTACACAATGAAAATAAAAAATTATTTTTCTTTTAAGATAACTTTAAACGAATCTATTCATTAATTCTAATTTATCACAATTTAATTATACAATTGTATAATTAAACAAATTTTTAGACTAATTTTTGGTGTGTAACACATTTAATAAAATCACTTATATTACAAGTATTAAAGTTGAAAAAATACAACATAATCGAAGGTGAGATTTTTCTCATATTCTGGCACATATTCTTGGTATTTTGTTTTACTAACTGGAGCCTTTGGAATATCGTTTCCAAAATTTTTTTACATCATCATGGCCTGCTTTTGTGACTACCATCGTTCGTTTTCTAAATGGTAAAAATATTAATTAATAATTTTATTTCTTAAGAAATCAAATAAAAACTGTTTGTTTCATGAAGTATGTTTACCTGTCACTTTGCCAAATTAATACTCCGGTAGAAAGGGCATGATCTCTGAGTACTTCAAAGTCAGTTTGAGAGAGAAACTGACTGTATAAAACTCCTTCGCTAAATACAAATCTATTCCTCTCATTTTCCCATAATTTAATTTGATCTACAATTGTAGGAGGTAAAACTGGAGGACCTGCCTCTATCATCTTACTATGAGCATGTTGCTGCAAATAACTGTTAATATAGCAAGGTGCAAATTAACTGTTTCCTTTCATATCATAGAATATTATACAAAGAAACTTATTTAGAGAAACATACCCTACAATCTGAGTTGCTGTAATACCACTTTTTAAAGCTTGACGTACAGAATCTCTTGTTAATATTGATACAACTAAATTTGGAAACCTACAAGCAAAATACTAATAAATAATTTTGTATAACAAATATGTCAAATAATACACTTTTTTTCCTAACATACCTATATAACATTTCACAAAATAGACCAAGTAAGGCAACTTGTAAATTTGAATTTGTGTAAGCATATACTCTGTAATTTGTTTCAACAACGATATAACCCTCTTTTTCTGGATCTCTGGATAGTGGCTTGTTTTGTCCAGTGGCAATATTTAATGCTAGTCGTGTAGGATAAAATCTAAAAATGCAAAATGTAGTAGTTTTGTAAATAGCAAGCAATGTAATATACATTATTGAAAATAAACAGTACTACCTTCCAGCTTTTCGTTTTCTTTGATATACCAAGCCAAATTCCCGTAGGTGTTGTAGAAATGTTAGTAAACCCTCAGACATTCCTTCAGTACTATAATCTTTGCCAAGTGTTGAAAAATTTAATTGAAAGAGAAATGTCAGGCATTCAACCAAATCAAGGCCTCTCGCTTCTATCGTGTCTAAATATTGTAAAATGAAGTACCACACCTGCAATGCATCCGAAGAAAATTAATACTATTATCGTTATATAAATAACAAATTAATTTGACTATTGATATAGATATATTATAAAACTGTTCTTAAAATCAAAATGAAAATTTGTTCTTAGTTACCTGCGATGCAGTTTCTAATAACAAAAACTGAAATCCAGCTTGAGTAATAACGGGACTTCCATCAGCTTCATCTCGTTTCATTAAACCAGCATGTAAAAGAATTCTAACAGCGTCAGCTGATATACCTATAAAGTAATTGTTAACCAACATCTAAAGTCTATCACTATCTCCTGTTTAAAATAAATTACCTTCTTGCTGCTGTGATCCAACCATATAATGCAAAACACATTCCCATCTTTCTAATGCATACGAATCTAAAAACGCAACATCTCTTGGTTTACTATCAGTTTCCATTTGATTTGACATGGTCCATGGTTTACCGCCTCCCAGTAAAACAATTTTTAAATTTTTCTTAAATGTAGTATTTAGAATCCATCCAGGTAATCCTCCTGGTATGGAAACTTCTTTCCACACATTCAGTTCATTCAATATCGAAACTACCTTTTGATGCTCTTCAAAATGAAGTTTAGAACACCAAGAAGCAATGACTGCTTGAGGTACCGGTTGTTCGACAAATAACAATCGCATAACATAGTGCTTAGCTATCACAGGCAATTCACGAAATACAGCCAAACAAATTGGAGGATTGTGATAGAGTTTATTCAACACTTCTGGAGGTCGTGATTTTAAATACTCTTGAAGATTTTTACATTGTAATCCGGTGGGTCGTAGTAAATTCTTTCCAGTTATTGTACTTGACATTATTTTCTATATTTAATATGAAAGTAACATCGAACAATACTAAATACTCTATTTAATCACAGAATATACTATATTTCTTAATCGTACTTTGTCTTTTTTTATGAGTTACAATACAAATAATTTGAATAGTTAATACTATACATTAAATAAAAATTACATTGTACACAATAATTAAGAAGTAAATGTCTGCAACATTATTTTTCTTCTTTAGTAATTGAATACACTCGCGGCACTTCTCTTCGCAATTGTATTATACCATAAATTATAAAAAACATAGATAATACGCGTCTTTATTCGCATCACAGACAAGTTGCCAGGTACCAGACAAGGTAGGTATAAAGATAGATATAACATGCAATGTAAAATTTTATCACACGCTATCCGGGGTCTTAGAACCCCCTTACCATTTTCATATCACTCTCTGTCATATCGACTCAGGCTGCTTTTGTATGGGTTAGCTTTATAAGTCAAAAATGCTAAATCGGACCTGCGGGCACTCTAGTGACATTCCCCTCACGAGAAGTTACCCTCCCCATACCAACATTTACCAGTGTTAAACAATAGTACATAGAACTACTCATATACCAGCTCGGCAGCTTCTTGAGTAGAGGTAGTGGGGGAACGCTGCTCCGAGTTACTAGCGTAACGGGAGTAAAGTTAAACATCTCTAGCATACACGTTGACCGTTAATGTACTGGTAACTATGTAATGAAAACAGTATATTTTTTATTCTAATATTGGTACTATACATTGTAGCATGATCTGTAATGCGATAAACTTCAAATGACAACACTATGAGAACTTGTTATGTACATTAACCTGTACGGAATGTGACTTTAGTTTATAACGTTTCGCAATGTATTCAATATGTAAAAGCAGTCATCCCGCTACGGGAGTAGAACACGCGATAACATGTTATTTTTTTAATCGTTTAGAAAAATGTCTTGTAGTAGCAGGCGCAAATATCATCAGAGTATTTCGTTTAATACCGGACGTAGATATAACGAAAAGAGAAAAATACACAGGTATGTTCATCTATTTCATATTTATAATTTGTTAATTCTTCTATCGGTACACCTTGTTGTACAACCCAGAAATACAGTTTCCTTTTGTGCTATAAGTTTGTTTAGCTTGTTTTGATCTAATTGTAAGTCTACAATGATATTTTTTTCCCTTATACTTATTCTTTTTCTTCTTTATGATATACATTCTTTAATACTTCTTCCATCTGCTAACCCCTTGACTACTGTTGGTGCTTAAAGCGCTTGAAAAATTTGGTTTTGGCATACTGTTGGCACCTATAAGCATAGATCAAATGTTATTGACAATAACTGCAGTGAAACTCATGTAGATCAGATGTAAGTGAATTTTAATTCAACAATTACATTTTTCATTAGTCATATAGTATATAAATGTGATTATTTTATATTAGTTTAACTTAGTCCAATTCAGTTTTCAATGGTTTCAATATACTTTCTTAGAAATGTGCGCTGACGTAAAATTCTGCCATAGCCAAGGGGTTAATTAGCAGCTATGATCATTCTTACTTTTTATTATCTTGTTAAGAATGTGAACATTGTGCATTGGTTAGTCCAGTATTATGATACATTTTTTTGCTAAGAATTATATAAGATTATTTATTACCATTATTAATCTAAACATTATTTTATTTTTTAGAATCACGCCCCCCAAAAATGAAGTTAGAATGTTTGGCACAATATACATTACACGGAAATGTAATGTCAATGCAGGCTGTTGCTCTTGTTGGGTCACAAAGAGATTCCTTATTATTAAGTTTTCGTGATGCAAAGTTATCGGTTGTAGAATATGATCAAGATATACATGACCTTAGAACAGTATCTTTACATTATTTTGAAGAAGAAGAGATAAGAGTAATTATGTTTAATTTTTATTTAGTTTCAAACATTTAACATATTTGTGGTAAAAATAATTTTATTCATTTCTTTAGGATGGGTGGACAAATCATCACCATATTCCTATTGTTAGAGTAGATCCAGAAGGAAGATGTGCAGTAATGTTAATATATGGTAGAAAATTAGTTGTATTACCTTTCAAAAAGGATCCAAGCCTTGATGATGGAGATTTACTGGACAATACAAAAGTATTATCTAATAAAACTCCTATACTTTCATCATATATGATAGTATTAAAAAGTTTAGAAGAAAAAATGGACAATATAATAGATTTACAATTTTTACATGGTTATTATGAACCTACATTATTAATATTGTATGAACCAGTAAGAACATTCTCTGGGTAAGTTTAACATATCTTTTTGAAATTTTTAATAATTAATATAATTTTAATATAATGTAATTGTAGGCGTATTGCAGTTAGACAAGATACCTGCGCTATGGTTGCAATATCTTTAAATATTCAACAAAGGGTACATCCCATAATTTGGTCTGTGTCAAATTTACCATTTGATTGCTATCAAGCAGTGCCAGTAAAGAAACCGCTTGGAGGAACATTAATTATGGCTGTCAATTCTCTCATTTACTTAAATCAGAGTATACCTCCTTATGGAGTTTCTTTAAATAGTTTGGCAGAGAGTAGTACAAACTTTCCATTAAGTTAGTATTAATTACATTTTACATCTAATACTACTCATACACAATTACAACATGTTTAAATTTGTTAAATGTACTATATAATTGCAGAGCCACAAGAAGGGGTAAAAATAAGCTTGGAAGGTTCTCAAGTTGCATTTATTTCTTCAGATCGTTTAGTAATTTCATTGAAGAGTGGAGAACTATACGTATTGTCTTTGTTTGCTGATAGTATGCGTTCTGTAAGAGGTTTTCATTTTGACAAAGCTGCAGCAAGTGTTTTAACTTCATGTGTGAGTATATTTAAAACTAAATTACATATATCTTATGTTTGCAAAATAGATAGTTGTAATTACTTAACTTATAGGTATGTATGTGCGAAGATAATTATCTGTTTTTGGGGTCACGTCTGGGTAATTCGCTTCTCTTGAGGTTTATTGAAAAAGAATCAGAAAATTTACAAAATACATATGAAAATGAAATAACAATCGAAGAAAATGAAACAGAGGAAACTCCAGCAAAGAAAGTGAAACAAGATTTTATAGGAGATTGGATGGCATCTGATGTATTAGATATAAAGGATCCAGAAGAATTAGAAGTATATGGAAGCGAAACGCATACTTCCATACAAATTACATCATATATATTTGAGGTATATAAGTACATACACATATAAAAATATATATTTAAAAATTTCTTATACTATTCAATGAAATTGTTTAGGTATGTGATAGTTTATTAAATATTGGACCATGTGGAAATATATCTATGGGTGAACCAGCTTTTTTATCAGAAGAATTTTCACACAGTCAAGATCCTGATGTTGAGCTTGTGACAACTTCTGGGTATGGTAAAAATGGTGCACTTTGTGTCCTTCAATGTTCTATACGGCCTCAGGTAATTCTGTTATTAAAATTGCAAAAATTAATCAAGCTTATATTTATCTAATAAAAACATTTGATTATAAAATAGGTTGTAACCACGTTTGAATTACCAGGATGTGAAGATATGTGGACGGTCATTGGTACACTGAATAACGATGAACAAGTAAGACCTGAAGCAGAAGGTTCACACGCTTTCTTGATTTTAAGTCAAGAAGATTCAACAATGGTATTTAAAATAATATACCTTTACCATATTTTTGTTTCCAAGTACAGATACATACAATATTATGTTACTTTTAGATATTGCAAACTGGTCAAGAAATTAATGAAGTAGATCAAAGTGGATTCAGTACACAGGGGAGTACAGTATTCGCAGGTAATCTTGGTGCAAATAGATATATAGTCCAAGTGACTCAAATGGGTGTACGTCTTCTGCAAGGAATTGAACAGGTACGTATAATATTATTACAATAAACTACTTGCATATATACTTATATAAAAAGTTAGTTATAGCCATACGTGTCATAATTATAGATACAACACATGCCTATAGATCTTGGATGTCCAATTGTGCATGCAAGTTGTGCAGATCCTTATGTAACATTATTGTCCGAAGATGGCCAAGTTATGTTATTGACACTCAGAGAAGGTCGAGGAACTGCGAAATTACACGCTCAAGCAGCTAATCTATTATTCGTATGTTAATAATTATAACATTTTTATGTTGTGCTACATATTGTACCGTCGTATTACGTGCAATTAAATTTTTCATAATCCAATTTTTAGCGCCCTCAAATAGAAGCACTGTGTGCTTACAGAGATGTTAGTGGAATATTCACAACGCAATTACCTGAAAATGTAGAAGACGAAGTACCTGAAGAGGAACATAATGTGGAAGAACCACCCATAGTTGGTAATATCGATAATGAAGATGATCTACTTTACGGCGATGCACCAGCCTTTCAAATGCCTGTACCATCGCATACCAAAGTAACTGAAGGATCATCAAAGAAAGCTCCTTGGTAATTCTTTTAATTACTTTTATAATTTATAGTTGTTTTGGTTTTCATTATGATATTAAATTTAATGGAATATCATTTTCCTGGATTAAAATATTAATTAAGTTCTTTTTTATAGGTGGCAAAAGCATTTGCAAGAAATAAAACCAACATATTGGTTATTAGTATACAGAGATAGCGGAACACTAGAGATTTATTCTCTTCCCGATTTACGCTTATCTTACCTTATTCGTAATTTTGGATATGGACAGTATGTATTACATGACAGTATGGAGTCTACAACGCTACAAACAGCTCCAGTTAACGAGATTCCTAATCCTGAAATGCAGGTATTGCAAATACAACAAATCATCAAAAAAGCATAAATATATTTGTATAAACTTATTCTGTTGCAGGTGCGTGAAATTTTAATGGTAGCATTGGGTCACCATGGAAATAGACCGATGTTATTAGTAAGACTTGATTCAGAACTTCAAATATATCAAGCATATAGATATCCAAAAGGGCACTTAAAACTGAGATTTAAAAAATTAGATCACGGTATAATATCAGGACATATAAGGTAAAAATATTCTATGTCTTAATTTAATACTACACAATTGACTACATTTGTTAAACAAATTTCAAGAATTATTTTATTTTTCAGACCAACACCGAAAGATGAAGAAATGCCTACGATGAATGAAACTCGACATTGTATGATGCGTTACTTTAGTAACATTGCTGGATACAATGGAGTATTCATTTGTAGTGATTACCCACATTGGATATTTCTCACAGGACGTGGTGAACTGCGTACTCATCCAATGGGTATTGATGGTCCTGTTACCTCCTTTGCGCCGTTTAATAATGTAAATTGCCCACAGGGTTTTCTTTATTTTAATAGAAAGGTATTGTCATATCTTTATTCGTTATTATCGGTATTAATCGTATTACGTCGTAAGTATGCATATTTATATGCATTTGATTTAATTTTTAGGAAGAGTTAAGGATATGTGTTCTACCAACTCATTTATCATATGATGCTCCGTGGCCTGTTCGAAAAGTACCATTGCGATGTACTCCTCATTTTGTTACGTATCACCTCGAAAGTAAAACCTATTGTGTTATAACAAGTATAGCCGAGCCACTGAAAAGTTATTATAGATTTAATGGCGAAGATAAGGTAAGAGCGTAACTGTGTAGTATGTTATATAAAAATAGTAATATCCTACCATTATATTGTTTCTTTTTCCACAGGAATTTACGGAAGAAGATAGATCCGACAGATTTATTTACCCTTCGCAAGAGCAATTTTCAATAGTATTATTTTCACCTGTTTCATGGGAAACTATTCCCAATACTAAAATTGAACTGGATCAATGGGAACATGTCACTTGTCTAAAAAATGTTTCTTTGGCATATGAAGGTACAAGATCTGGTTTAAAAGGTTATATAGTACTAGGAACAAATTATAACTATGGCGAAGATATTACGAGTAGAGGAAGGGTAAAATCATAATTTTAAAAAAGTTATTTGTTTATACCGAATTGTGCTTTTACTTTTTATTAATAATATTTTGTTACAGATACTCATATTTGATATAATCGAAGTTGTTCCTGAACCTGGTCAACCATTAACAAAAAATAGGTTCAAACAAATTTACGCAAAAGAACAGAAGGGTCCGATAACTGCCATCACTCAAGTCTCAGGTTTTCTAGTCTCGGCAGTAGGACAAAAAATATATATTTGGCAACTAAAAGATAACGACCTTGTTGGAGTTGCATTTATAGACACACAAATTTACATTCATCAAATGTTAAGCATAAAAAGTTTAATTTTAATAGCCGATGTATATAAGTCAATTAGTTTATTAAGATTTCAAGAAGAATATAGAACGCTATCTCTCGTTAGTAGAGTAAGTAAAAATTTATTTATAACTGAATACTTATTAATTTAATAAATTTTTAGCGATTTATTATTATTGTATACAAATGATTAAGAGTGTATGTCCTTTTTTAAAGGATTTTAGACCGGCAGAAGTGTACACCATCGAATACTTAATTGATAATAATAACTTAGGATTTCTTGTGGCAGACGGTGAAAGCAATGTAGCTTTATTCATGTATCAACCAGAATCAAGGGAAAGCCTTGGTGGACAAAAATTGATTAGAAAAGCAGATTTTCATTTAGGACAAAAAATAAATACATTCTTTCGAATTAAATGCAGAATTTCAGATCCTGCAAACGATAAAAAACAATTTTCTGGTGCAGATAAAAGACACGTTACTATGTATGGTATGTTGAAATTAAAAATGAAGAAAAAGTAAATGAAAACATAAAGAAATTCTATATAAAATATTACTCTTATTTTTGTACAGCATCTCTTGATGGCAGTCTTGGTTATATTTTGCCCGTGCCAGAAAAAACATATCGTAGATTACTTATGTTACAAAATGTTTTGGTGTCACATATTTGTCATATTGCTGGTTTAAATCCCAAAGCATATCGGTAATTATTTTACTTAAAATAAGTGTATATTAAGAATGTGTACATTATACATATTATACTATTCAATCATTTTACTTTTTAGTACTTATAAAAGCTTTATCCGAACTCAAGGAAATCCTGCAAGGGGTATTATCGATGGAGATCTAGTTTGGCGTTACCTCTTCTTACCTAATAACGAAAAAATAGATGTGGCAAAAAAAATTGGAACGCGTGTGCAAGAAATAATAGAAGACCTGACAGAAATAGATCGACAAACAGCACATTTTTAAAAGAGTACTTTTTTATCATGTCATGTCAGAGGCATATTTTTTCATAAATGGTGAAATATTTCATAGAGAGAATACTTTTTTTATCTCAATTGAAAATCATTATTCATTATTGTACTTTACATTGCATTTATATTTAATTACAATAATAATGAATTTTAGTATTTTTTGGTCTGTAAAAACTTTTAAGTGTGAATACAAACCAGTTTGAACAATGTAAATATATGTATGTTGATTAGAAGAAATTTTGTATAAAACAAAATCTGCCGATTTCAGAACATAAATTGAGAAGTCATTTTTTATGATGGCTATGGATGTGTATTTAAGAGGATATTCTTAACTGTAAAAATTGAAGCATTTTTACCTGATTTATTAAAATTGTCGCAAAACAAGAAGCATAGTATAAAAATTTACTTCAAACACAATGCAGTCAATATTACAACGTGAATCTACTTTAGCATCAAATTTGGAGGGTCGAACTCGTTTTTCGAGACGTTCAACAAGACGCGAAACACGTCGTATGTATTAATAAATTGCGGATATGTATAATATACTATTAATTACGAAAGCTACACTTTACATAAAAAGTTGTCTTACTGTTAAATAAAAAGGAAATAAATTTTATACGTATATATATTTAAATGTATATTTTGACTTAAATATTGATCAAACAATTATAAGCCAGGTGTAACAGATGATGCAGTATAAGTATGATATAATGTTTAAAGTTATATTATTGTACACATATAAAAGATTATCAGTAAGTAAAATACTTTCAGTAAAATACAGAGTGATAAATAAAAAGATTTCAATATATTTGTTAGTTTTGATTGTATAGTAAAACTTATCAAGATCCAAATTATACTGTTTTATGGAATATATGTAACAATAAAAAATTGTATGTCAAAGTCATTTTTCATTACTGGACTATGAAATTATATTCAGATATATTGTTTATGATATTCAGCATTAAAAAAGATCCATAACCAAAGGTATATTAAAACATTAAAATGAATAAGCTACATCATTGTTATAGCTAGTAAAATTTTTCATTTTATTTTTAAATGTTCTATAAGAATATCTAAAAAATATTGCATATATCTGTTTAAAAAATATCAGTGACTGAAGAAACCTTATTTTTTGTATCAGAATTTGTTTGTATAAATTAATTTTTGTATATTTTTAAGAAAAAATTTTCCTGCAAATACATATGGTTCTTAACAGTGTAATTTTGTCTTAATAAGTTTTTATGCAACCATAGATAATAAAAATATTTTAATGTTACCATTTACATGGGCAATTTTGTATATTAGAATGTCTAATGTATTATAGTTAGGATAAGATAAAGTACAGGTAAATATACTTGAATTTATTCGCTTAAAGTACATACAATTTTTCAATAAAAAACGTTATAGTATTTCACAGAAAGAAAAAATTGAAATTTGTATTACTTTTTAAGAAACTACTTTAGCATGTTAGGTTTGGAAATTTATGTTTATTTAAGGTTTTCATATACAGTGTCTTCAATAGAACCAACACTACTAGAGAAAAGACTTTGTGAGGCATTTGATGTTTTCGATACTTCAAAAATCGGTGAAATAGATGTTAGAGATTTAGGAACTATTATTAGAGCATTGGGATGCGTTATTACGGAAGCCGAATTACAAGAGATACAAGTTGAAGTGGAAGATGTAGAAAATAATTCTGTGCCCCTAAATAGATTTGTAGAATACATGAACAAAGCTATTAACGAACGCAAGTCAGTTATATAGAAATTTTAACTATAATTATGTTTACATTTTACCTGATTCAAACTTGAATTTTACATCATATATTCAGGTTTAAACCAGCTGAACCAGAAGACCTATTAAAAGCATTTCAATTGTTAGATCCTGAAAATCGAGGCTACATAATGCGTGACGTTTTAGAAAAAGCAATTATGGAAATTGGTGAACCATTTTCAGAACAAGAAGTAGCTGACATGATGGTTATTGCATGTGATCCAGAAACGAAAAGAATTAATTATGAGCATTATATTAATTTACTAATTGTACGTATGTCATATTTTTCTATAGAATACAGAATGTTTGTTATTCAAATTAAATCAAATGATATAAAGTATATTTGTATAAATCATTTATAGGTAAAAATATCTAATGAAAGAAATGTGTATTCAATTGTTGATGAAATGGATGCAGCTAGATTACAAGCTGCACCTAAAAAGCGTAAATTAGAAGACCTTCTTAGCAGCTATAAAGTAACTTAACTTATTCAAAAGACATCATTGTTAGACTTTTTAAATTAAAAACATTTAGCAAAAAAACAAAATTAATTATAAAAATGCATATAAAATATATATTTATAGTGTACAATATGTAAAATATATATACTCATATAATAGGGTAAATATATTCATATAAAAATATTCCATTAAATTATTCCCAAATTATACATCAATATTATTTTGAATATAAAAAGAATATGAATATAAAAGCACAGTTACAGTTTTGAAAAAACTGGAGTTTCTGATTTAATAGCCTGTGCCATTGCTGCATTTGCAAAATCCTCACTTTGAAGCATAGACTGATTAAGCATTGCCTATAAATAAAATTAAAGAATAAGGTATTTACATTCATATAATGACAATTGTATTATTTTAGGTGGAATAATATTACAGCTTACAATATGATCTAAACCCTCTTGAACGGAGTGATCTCTTGAGTAAACCAAACTTAACTTTGAACCTTGCACTGCAACTGGACTTTTACTTGCTATTGTCTTTGCAAGTTCCATTGATCCTTCTAATAAGCTGGAAGAAATGAAAACTATAATGCACTAAATTGTTCACATGAGTATAAGCTAAATAACATATTAAGCAATTATATATTTATATTTAATATAAATAAATTTTACCTTTCTTGATTTTCAAATGTACGACTAACAAAACCATGTTGTAAGGCTTCAGAAGCTGTAAATTTTCTTGCAGTATATACAAGTTCCCTAACTAAGCTATCAGAGCCTATAATTTTGGGAAATCGTTGCAATGTACCCACATCAGCAGCCATACCTATATCGACTTCTTTTATTTGAAACCATGCATCTGAAGAACAATATCGAATATCAGCTGCCGATATCATATCTACTCCAGCACCAACACATGCACCATGTACGGCTGCAATTACAGGTTTTGGACACTAAAAAGGTATAAATAATAGAACATATATACTTTAAATAAATTCTTAACTATAAACATAGACAATGAAGAACCTTTTCTATAGCACTAAGGCTATCTTGATATTCTTTTATCATAAGTTGCAATATTTTGCATTTTCGTGCAACATCTTCTTGTTCTGCTAATTTTGGGGCAAAGTTTACTAAGTCCTGAACATCAATACCTACAAAATTAATTTCAAAATAATTTGAAACTATTTTTTATAAAATTATCATATAATTAAAAAATCAATGTACCTGAACAAAATCCTTTGTCGGCACCTGAAAGAATAATAACTCTGCACTCTGGTTCTACTGCTAACTCATTAAAGCATATTTTAAATTCTCTATGAAATCATTAAATAAAAACAATGTTAAGTTTTAAACGTAATACTAATGAAAATATCAATACATACTTCCACATAATATCATTCATGGCATTAAGCTTTTTAGGTCTGTTTAATTGTACCATATAAATAAATTGTTGCGGCACTGATATTTGTAATGTCTTATATTTTTTAGAATTTTCTGCATTACTGTAACTCATCTTGCAAAAGTATTGTATTTCTAAAAAAAATTGTCTTAATTTTTATTAACAATTACATACAATATATATATATATATATAATTATGAACAGATAAAATGAAAAGTCTATATTTAAATAATTTGCAATTGCTTTCTAATAAAATAAATTGAAACACTATACCATAAGTAAATACTTATATAGTTGTGTAAAAATTTCTTACGTTTTCTAGTAACGCCCACAAAAAATTGACGTTTAAGCGTATGAAAAATCATTTTCGTAATCAAAAAGAATTGCCCAAAGCCTTTAATTTTTATTATATCTAATCTTGAGATTTCTTACGTGCTGGCAATACACATGTATAGTATACTATGTTTTTATGGACTAATACATACATAAATAATAAACAATTATTGTACTTTATTCAGAGAGATAGTAACCTGACTCAATTTTACTTTTATACATTTTATTTTTAAATGAAAATATACACGTATATGTATTTGTAATAAAAGTACGTTATTTAATAACGATTATAACTTATTATTACAGTTGTAATAAAATAATTTTTAACAAATATCGTTTTTTAATAACATGTCGACTAATGAAAGTAGAACTCTCACTTTTTTGTGGAAAGAAAATAGTTGAGTGCTATATCACCACCTGTATGAAGCACTCTGGTTTGGCGATTTTTGTGCGAGTACTTTTTGCCTAGAGAGTTTTGTGCAACAGTTTCGCGCCTGCCTTAATTTTAGTACAGACTTAAGACAGAGTTGTCTAACTCAGTAGTGCCTAACATACTCTCCTTACACTTCTACTTGAAAACAGAGTTCCCCCATTACCTTTATTCAAGGCGCTGCCCGAACTCTGTATGTGAACAGTTTTATGTAGTGTTCAATATAACTGGTAAAAGTAGGTATGGAGAGTTACTAGAGTGCCAGCGGGTACCGATTTAGCATCCTTGCTTTAAGTACATAGATACTTACTTCCTATTTATAAGCTGACTAGGGATTTGGTCTTCCTTCATCGTTTGAATAAATCGCATCTGAATGTAACCATCGATGAGTTTCCCTTCAACATCCGAGGTAATTCGTCAGATTCAAAATCCGTCCCCTCCGCGTTTTGTAGTTCCATTTTGGAACTTGTGCCGGGAATTGCTACCACAATTGACTTAAAATTTTTGTGGAGCAGAGTATCTGCGTGAAATCCGAGAAGTTCGAAGGCTCGTTCATGTAAACCGCAACCGGTGCAATGCGAGTATGCTTGACATCGTTTCATAGTACGCTTATGCAAATAGAATTCAATGTATTACTAGCAAAAGGTTTTCGCAATTATCTCGAAAACTATAAGGCTGGAAAACTTTTATCAAAGGAAAAAGTTATGTAAAGTGTGCATTTTTGGATTTTTCAATTTCAGAAAATTCGAGAGTAAAGCAGGGGAACTGGAGTATTATCTGTTCAAAATTTTTAACTGAATCTGTTGGGTAAATTAATACTCATTGGATATGGTACAAATGGATAGGACTTGGATCGCTATTTTCTTCGGGATAGAAGATTACCTTCTATAGGTTGAATGTTTTTTTTACGTTGAAGATTATATGGTGTCAAAACTTTTCAAAGTTTATTGTTGTACTTGAAATGCTATCAGTAAACATACTAGCAATATAACTGTTTTAAACTATATATTTTAAACTTCACTTTAATATCTCAGAAATACAAAAAAATTTGAAATTTAGTTCGTTCTTGACTGACCCATTTTAGTTTGCGAGATAGCTTACATTTAGTTGCAATTTTCAATGCGTCCCATGATTCTTTTTAGCAGACAACTTGTATGTAAAGATATACATTCTAAGCTTTAGTTTCATTCATGCATTTTTTACTGTGTCGACATTTTACAAAATTATCCAGAAAAGGTATGTAATGTGTCTAGTAAAATTATATTTGTGGATTTTATGAAAGTTCGCACGTTTGGTCACTTATGGACTGTGTTCTGTAAATCCTAAAGTTTGTGTTCTTCTAACCAGGTAGAGTCCGCTAGTGCACTAGGGAATTCTTAACGGTGTCGGTATTACAGAACAATAGACAGAAATCAGAGCAGTCGGTAAAGTCAGATTTCCACACTAACCTCATCGACCGAAGCGACTACAAAGTTCGACGCGCAACCTCGTGGCGCAACCCAAAAGAAAATTTAAATTTTTAGCAGGAATCGCGATGAACCTCAAAAAGTAGACATTAGATGCACAGCACACAGTAACCAAAAGCAAAATAATCATAGTAAACCTTGTAGAAATAGTCGTGTATGTGATCTCTTCGCAGTGATATCATTTATGTAAAATGAGTGTTCGAAAACGGAGAAGTAAAAACCAGAATAGACACCAAAAATAGAACTAGGGAAATGAAAAAGTTAGTCACAAAAAACGAAGAAACAATACCGACGGTGGTAACGAGGATCAGACGAATAGATAAATCAACCTGAAAACCAAGAACCAAAGACTCATGACTAAAAGCAAGAAAAAGCTGGATGAATGTTAAAAGACACAAGGATACCGAATCGGAAAGCGAGGAAGAATACCGGCGACGCTGAAGAGGAACAAGAGAATAGAAATGCTACCTGAGAAATAAAGACGACCACCGCGCTGACAGTGTTTAAAAAAAGGGGGGAAAGAGATAGCACAGTCGATGACAAGCAGAGCCAGAGAGAGGCCGAATGCTTGGTGAAAGAGAGACCAGCCGACAGTGTGGGAAGCAGGCGGGAAGGAGAACCTCGAGTGACGAGGAGAGCTATCTGTTAGGGGTGCGATGGTGGGGAGGAGGAGCGACAGAGACAGGCTGGCCGCTTGGCACGAGGGAGGAGTGAGACGGTCGCGATCGTCGGAGTTCGTCATGGGAGACGGTGGAGAACGTTGGTCCTCCGGTGTCGGAGAGCGCGGAATCGCGGAGTAGAGCGAGCCGACGACGCACCACCGGTCTCTCCGGGTCCGCGCTTCTCGCCGCGGCTCCTGTTACTTTCCTCGCGGCCGTTCCGTTCGGGTTGAATGAACGAGGGTACCAAGTGTAAAGTGCCGATCGGCGACGCCTGCGTGTCTATGCGCGTGTGCTTCGACTCCTTGTGCTTCTCGTCGACGCAGCAGCGGCTCGCCGACGAGGAGGACGCCCCGCAGCTGCCGGCGCACGGCGCGGTGGCCGTGCTCGGGGCTGGCCACCAGAGGCCCGTCTCGAACGTCACCGGAGCTACCGCGATCACCACGATGGGCACGCTCCGGGAGCTCCAGGAGCTGTTGCGTGTCAAGGACGAGAGGATCGCCGAGCTCGAGGCGATCCTTTGCCGCCGCGATGCTGAGATACAGGAGCTCAGAAGTCACCTCGACAAGTTCCTCAGTGTGCTACCGTTTAAATCACCCCTGACACCGACGAAGCCTAGGCCCAGGAAGCAACGGGCTCAGGGGATTTCCGCGGAGCCACCGCTCCAGGAGTTCGCTTCGTTGACGGTTGTTGATAAAAATGACAGGTTGGTGTTTATCATTGTGATACGTATCGGTTGAATTTTTCGTCGTTTTTCATGATACTTGTTAACCAGTTACTCGGTACTTTGGAGGGTTTTTGAGGATGTTGATGGTGGTTGTAAGTCTTAGCAGATTCTCTGCAACGAGAATAACCATTTGTTTCGGCTATCTCGGAGCTGTTAAGTTGCAGGTTAACCACTTAGCGTCGCGCATGCGTGCGACACTCATGCATGCATGTTTACTCGATCGCGGTCGCTACGCGTTCGATTGGTGGTCGTGATTCAACCCATCTCGTTCTCCATGTGGAAAGATACATACCGTGTGTTGGAACTTCTGCTGGCAGATTCCAACGTTTAAAGGGTTAATCGGTTTTCACGGAACAGCGAACCATGCCGCCTTTTGCCGGTTTGTTTTTGTTCGATCTAGCTACGGCTGATACGGTGTCGTCATGCATTTTTAGTGTAGTGTCCGTGATGTTTGAAAATTGGTATAGGAAAATTATGTTGAACTTGCACGTAATATGTAGAATTGAAAAGGTAGAGTCAAGGCCGTAACTTATTAGCTTTTAATAACCCGTTTTCTTTTATAATGTATTTTAACACGTTCGCTATTAGCATTTATTTCGGTTACAGTGAAGTCTTTATAGTTGTAATATTTGATTAAATGTAACATATCGTCTTTATAAAAATATACATAAAATTTAGGAAAAACATACCGTCAACTTCCTGCAAATTACACCATACGCAAGAATTTTAGATGAAAGTACGTCCTTACTAGTGAAAGTAATTTATTTTTCTTTAAACAAAATGCCAACTGTTGATAGTTACAATTATGTGACGTTGGCAGCAAAAGTGTTAATAAATTCAAATATTGCAACAAAAATATGCTTTTATATCCTTCATATTTACTGCGGTATAAACAGTTTTTAAATCGTGTTAGGATAGCCATTTCTTGATCGTATTATACTAAATTTAAATATTCTTCATCACGTGACTCATACATTAGATTTTAGTTACGTCAGGTATTCGATTAGTCAAGTTAAATTGAAATTTGGAATTAATGAAATAACCACCTGTCATATGATTTATTTTACAACTATGATAAAAATACTTTATCGTTAACAATGTAACAGAATAAAGAATTTTATATTTATTTTGTGTCCAAGTTTAATCTAAAAGTTAAACAGTGATCATAGAAAGGTGATATTTAATTTATATTAAAAATAAAGAAATAACACATTTAGATGTGTCAAATTCAGTTTAAAATTTTCATCACGAGTCTGACACGATATTATAGGAGAAGGGATAAATGGTTCTTTGAGTGTTAATTTTATTGTATACATATATTTTGTTTGAGTATATTTAACGATTAATCTAATGGGAAATATTTGAGCAAATTTTTGACGTGTGCGCGCCATTTACTAGAAAATTGTACCGCCATTACTGACGCAAATCTTCGCGGTGTGATGCGCTCGTATGATTGCAGTATCGGTTTACACCTATTTACCGGCGTCGAGCGTTTCTTTCATTTGTTCGATATACATTCTATTTACTTGCTTGCGGTATTAACTGTCGCATTCGATTTTAATAAGCTTTCAATAAGTAATTTTATATTAACGTTAATAGTTTTAGTAGGTGAAATGTACTTAAGTTGCATCATTGTTTAAATCGATTGCTGAAATTATTATTTCGACTGTTTTCGCCGCAAACGTTGATTCGTTTCTCACGTACGATGTTTTGAAAATTTCTCGCGTAATATTCCACGAATTGACCGGTCTTTGCCAAACAATCGTTTAACGTTTAATATTTGACATAACAGTTTTACGAGAATTGTTATCGAAAACCCGGCAAAATGTTACTATTCTATCCATTTTCCTTGGTAATTTCTTTTGTTTTGTTTTAAAAATACTGTACTCGTAATTGAAAATGAATTTCAGTAAATTTATGCAGACAAGTTATGTAACATACATGAAATAAGTAATGTTTTAACAATTTTAAATACTTGATAGTTAATAAGCTGAGCAAACTGATACACTTACAAGTCAAAAAAACCGGAAATTTCGGGAACTTTGTTACCTCCATCGTCGTTTTTAGTACGTTGGAAATGAACCAAGAATTTCACTGCCTTTAATTTTATTTTATTTATATTATTTATATAATGTATATAATACACACCTGACTACCGATTTACGCGAAAATCCATCCCCCGTGGGTTCGTTTTACGCGAACGAAAATCGCGTAAATAGAGCCTGTCGGTACAAGAGAAAACAGAATATTGAAGAGAAAAGCTGATATAAGTTCTATAAACACGTATTTATTTCACATAGCTTAACAAAGGAAAGAATAATAATGATATTTTAGGAAACGAAAGTATATTTTTTTCGCTGTTACTAAATTCAGATCGCGTAAATTGAGATCGCGCGTAAAAACTACGCGTAAATAGTATTCCAATTTACCGCGTAAAAGGCTCGCGAGAAAAAGGTCCGCGTAAATCGAGGGTCAGATGTATATCAAATATAAATGTCCGAAATAATAATTAAAATAGAAATGAAAATAAGAATAAATACAAAATAAAAATGAAGGGCAACAATGTTTATCTGAATTTCATTACTTCTTATCTAATTTTGTTTATTCCAATATATCAAATATGATTGTTTGAAATAATGATTAAAATAGAAATGAATGTAAAAATAAACGTGAAATGA